CAAGATTGCATGGTTTCGCTTAGAAATTGCAAAATCTCGCTGTGCATCTTAGTTTACTGGGAAGAAACTTTCGTGGGTATGTAAACTGATAATCACGAGAGACACTCGGCTTGTTTTTGATTATAATGATTTTGTATTCATGATAGAGGCGTTAAATATACATTTAGTAAGCATTATAAAAAATATTAATGGATTTCCAGACTTGGTATCTGAGTTGGTTTTCGGTTTTTCGTGTTTGGGTTCTAGTATCTCTTCGATCTAAGCAACATTTAGGCGCCTCTAGCGATCTCGAATAGCGCGGAACCTCTGTAGACCTCACTGGTCACCACTGCATCGGATCGATTAGGGTTTTGATAACTGGGATGTGAAAATTTATCGGCTTTGACGGTTTTGCATACGGTTTTCGGTTACGATCAAATTTCTTTTCGGTTTTTCAGCTTTGGATGATATTTTCTACGGTTTCGCGGTTTCAAATAAACCCCAATGCCCGCACTCCCTTACTCTTCGTGGTGGCCAATTCAAATCCAGACACAGGGAATCAAACTAAGTGACTGACTTACACTGCCTATTTTCGCTATGATATTCTTTTTACAAGGCTTTGCTATGAGATTTCACTTTTCTTGTCACAATGTTATTTCGATTTCATGTCAAAGCAGTTGTTCTTGACCTCGCGAAATAATAGATCCGCCAAGCGTTACAGGTTTCCATATTTTTCGCTGTAATAAATGACGGAGGTTATCTTCTCGATGTCTTGGCCATGGTCATTTCTCATGAAATCATGGAAGATGCCTTCTTGTGACATTTCTTTCACTCGCACTGAACCACATAAAACAATCGGTAAACAGTATTTTTCTCTCGTCTCCAGTTAAAATTCAAAATCTCCGTTCTAGTTTGTCGTAGATGAAGGTTTATCAGTTACTCATATTGCTGGTAGTAAATTCTACGTTATAATACGACAATATCATGATCCTGAAACCCGCCGGTAATGAACAGGGAATCAAAATGTTTGGGAATTTTCTTTCACTAGCACGGTTTTGAGAGTATCTTATGTGGGCTGTTTACTTTGCTGTCTCATTAATCCACTGTTGTTTTCTGCATCACACGCTTTTTTTGTCTGAATAAGACGAC